CTGGGCGCTGGCCACATAGCAGGGGCTGAAGCAGACCCAGATCAGTCCTTGTGAGATGTACTGGGAGGCAAATAAAACACAGTGATGTGTTAGAGAATGACTGGGGCAGAGGGGCCTCTCCAGGGAGGTGAGCATGAGCTCACACCCGGAGGAGGAGGGGCCAACCAGGTGGGAGCTGGGAGAACAGCATACCAGACAGCAGGAACAGCACATGCAAGGGTCCTGAGGCAGAAATGAGTTTGACATGTTTGAGGAACAGTGAGGAGGCTGCTATAACTGGAACAGAATTAGCGAGGGGGAGAGAGGAGGAAGAGGAAGATAGAGCGGTCTGCATGTAGGGGCTGAGGTAAAGGAGTGGACTGCAGAGCAGTGGGGAGCCATGGAGGGTGTGTGAGCAGGGGAGAAACATGGTGTTCTGATTTATGATTTTCAAAAGCCTCCATGACTACTGTGGAGAGCAGGGACTGTTGGGGCAGGAGCCGAAGTGGCAGAAGGCCAGAGGGGAACCCAGGAGGTAACTGCGTAGAGTTGGCTGGGCCAGGACTGCGTAGTCAGGGAGGGAGTGAAATGGGCAGATTCTGGGACTGAACTGGGTGGGCATGGAGGAGGGAGTGTGTGTGGTCAGGTTGCCGCCCAATGCTGAGGAACCATGGGGAGGGAGGGATTTGTCATGCTCTGGGAAATCTGGGAAAGCATCCTGGAAGAGGTGTTCTTGCTCTTTGAGCTAAGTCTAGAAGGGCAAGAAGGCCCCTGCTGGTGTCCAACTGGAGTCAGGCTGAGGGTCTAATTGTACGGACACCATGAGGGCCCTGGGGAGCCACTGAGCACTCAGAATTAGAAGCAACACGGTGAGATTTTAGCAAGGAAAGACCCCTCTGGGGGTGCCTGGCAGAGACAGGACTGGAGCCAGAGAAGCCAGGAGTCACTTGAACCGCTCAGGTCCTGCAACTAGGAGCATCCAGTGAGCGCTTGTTGTGTACCTAGCACATTTGAAGGGGATTAGCTCCCTAGCCCCTCTCACTGCCCTCGGAGGCCCCCACTGCCCTGCCAAGGGACCTGAGGCTCAACGAGGGAGGGGCCCTTGTCTGTGACCACTGCATGACTTTCCAGGGGGTGCAGTAACAAAGGCCCACAACCTTAAAACAACAGAAATGTCTTCTCTCACAGTCCTGGAGGCCAGAGCCTGAAATCCACATGTGGGCAGGGCCACATTCCCTCTGGAGGCTCTAGGGCAGGCTCTTCTTTTTGTTTTTTCCCCTTCCTGGGGGCTCCAGGTGTCCCGTGGCTTCTGGCCACATCACTCTAGTCTCCGCATCTGTCTTCACGTGGCCTCCTTAGGAGGACCCCCAGTCACTGGGTTAAGGCCCACCCTAATCTAGTATGACTTCATCTTCATTTAACAGTATCTGCAAAGACCCTGTTTCCAAATAAGGTCACATTCTGAGGTTCTGGGTGGACTGGGATTTGCTGGGGGAGGCTCTTCAGACGAGTAGGGCCAGACAATAGGACACTGTGCTCAGTCCTGCCTTTGTCCCCAGGGCCTTTGCTGAAGCAGGGGCTGCAAGGGATGGGGACAAAGGGGTGTCCTGGGGTGAATTCAGGGGCAAGGATGGACAGGCCTGAGGTCCCACTGGATGTGGGCGTGGCCAGAAAGAGTCTGGAGCCTTCCAGCCTGACTGTGAGAAGGGAGGGGACGCTGGTGTCTGGAACAGGGAAGCTGCTGCCGGCTGCATGGACAGGACAGCCCCAGGGGAGGTCCCTGGAGGCCTGGGGCGGGGGGTGGTGTTGGTGGGGAGGGCTCCCAGGCCTTGGCTGCTTTGTGGGGATCCTGTGCTGATGGTAGAGCTGCTTCCCTGCCTGCCTGTCACCCCCAGGCTCCCACCTCCTCCTCCAGAGCAGGGACCAAGGGGCTGCCAGGCAAAGCCCCTCCTCACCACTCCCTGGCCTCATTTCCCCCATGGACCATCTGCAGGGGCCAGTTATATTTATTTGTTGACTCAAGATCTCATCTTGCCTGCTGAAAACATGAGTTTGGGGGATTCCGTGTGTCTTCTGCACCATGCTGTCTCCACTTCAGGCTCATCTCTTACATACAGGAGGTGCTCAATAAACATTGATAAAATGAGTGACGCTTCTCTAAGTCCCTGAGTTCCAGAGAGCCGAGGAACAAGCCCTCTAAGATGCCTGCCCCAGCTCCTGGGGCCTTCCTGGTCCCCTTCCTGCCCCTATAATTCACAGAACCCTAGGGGACTTAACCCTCCATGACTTGCACCCTGCTCGGAGTCCTCGTGCACACATCTCTGCAGGTGGGACCCCTGCCAGCCTCTGACTTGGTCCTTCCCTTTTGCCCCTTCCCTCTGGCCACACTGGTCTCTCTTCTCTTCCTCAAACATGCCCTCCTTGGTCCCACCTCAGCGTCTTGATCCTTACAGTGCCCTCCACCCGGTGCCCCCTTCTAGCTCTTCCGGGCCTGGCTCCTTGGCCCCTTTGGAATGTTCCCCCTTCTGGGAGGCCTCCCATGACCACCCCAAAGTCTCCCCAGCTGTTCCTATCTTTCTCAACTTCACTGGATCGCTTTCTAATACTTGTGTATCTAGAATTCTTACTGGTCCTTTTGTTTGGAGAGGGTTGTTCCCAGAGTTCTAGAAATTCAGCTCCAAGAAGGACAGTTTTGTATCACAGACTCTGCATCCCCAGCACCAGACTCAGGCAAGGGGCTCGGTGGCTATGTGAATGAATGAATGAATGAATGAATGAATGAATGAATGAATGAATGAATCAGTGAATCAATGAATGCATCAATGAATGAATGAATGGGTAAATATATTCCATACCCTGCCATCTCCATACTCATGGGGGATTCAGGGTCCAACCTCCTGGGCAGCCATCTGTCAGGCCCCAGGTGGGTCTGATATTTCTGTGGATGCCAGCTAGGGGTGGTAGGTGGCCAGTCCATCCCTACTCAGGCAGCCTATGGGTCCTTCAGCCCCTGTGAGGCTCTCCCAGGTCTCTTGCACCTGGACCCTTGGTCACTGCCCTAGACTTGTGGCCCAGCCCTCAGGCCCCTGGACGAGGGGCTTCCTGATCAGCCACCACCCCATCTCCTGCCTGTTCTTTAGGCCATTTCCTGGGAATGTGAGTCCCCCTGGGTGCATCCCAACTGACAAGTTCATTTGTAGGCTCCTCTGGTCTCTTCCAGCCAACTATGGGCTGATAAGAGGCTCTCTCTGCAGTGAAATCTCAGGTGGTGCCCACCCATAGCCCCACGTCCGTCCCCCGACCCCTATCCACCTCGGCCAGACTTTGTCTCCGAGAGGTGAGGTTGAATTAGGCAGGAGGGCAGACTTGGGTGGACAGTGGTCATTCACCAGGTCAACCATCCTAAGTTTAGCCCCTTGAAGGGGGTCCCTGATCCCTTAGGGCAGATGAGCCCAAAGGGGAAAGAGGGATCTTTCCAAAGAGAGAAGATGGGTGCAGAGCCTGCAGGGCCTGCTCAGGATGGGAGGGCCTAGAGGAGCCTCCAGGGTCTGTGGCCCATGCTTTTGTGAATATCTGGATGTTTACATGTTGGACTTGAATTCAAAAAGCATCCGATGTTGCGGGCACTCCACAGAAGCCTACACAGGCTGGAGTCAGCCCGTGGGCACGGTGTGAGTGCTCCTTGTGGGGCAGAGATCCGCACAGGGGCAGGCTCAGGTTGGCAGGGGCTGGGGCACTGAATGCAGTACAAGGATGTGTGCCAGGTCCCGAGGGAGGTGTGGGTGGTTCCAGCACGACCGTGCTTTAGAAAGAGCCCCCAGCAGCTCAGGCAGGCCTGGCGGGGGGGGGGGGGGGGCTGGTGAGTGGATGGGTGGATGGGGATTACAGAAGGCTGCTCCTTGAGCATGGCTGAGGATGCATCCATTTAGGGTCCCCCATCCTGACACCCCTGCGGTGCCCAGGCCTCTACGGCCACCACAGCCAGGCCTTCTTCAGGTGTCCCCAACAGGCTGCGATGAGATACAGAAGTCTTGTCCACCGACCCCAGGCCATCACCTGGTCCTGCTCAGCCTCATCACTGGCCCATGAGACCACCCCCTGCCCAGGCAGCCATCCACTCATCCTCATTCAGTCTAGCTCTTTTCCGGACACCACAGAGGAAACAGATCAGCTGCCTACAGGCAGTGACGAGCAGTCAGATGTTCCTGACCCTGTCCCAAGCTCCAAGCTGGGAAGAAAACAGTGGGGCACTGGGAGAGAGATGGGGGGGGTCAGAGCTGGACTCAGTCACCCCAGCCAGGCGGGGACAGGGTAAGGCCTAGATAGTTTGGCAGCCTGGGGGAGGAGAAGGAAAAGCTCCCCCTCCCCGTTCCACACCCCCCCCCCCGCCCGTCCCCAAGGCCCCTTCCAGCCATTATTAAGTTGAATGAATGAGTCGCCCAAGGACACCCTCTGTGCCAGGAGAAAGGAGCATGGTTTTGGACACCTCCCAAGCAGGCTTCCGCTGGCCTGCCATCCTGGTATTGTTGGTAAGGGTTAGAAGTGGGAGGAGGGGCTAAGTCTCACAGAAGATGGCCTTGAACCCATGGCCCTAGCAGGCACCCCCTCAACTCCTAGAAGCCCCCACTTCTAGGGTCCTAGGCACCCTGAACTCAGCAATAGACTGCAAGCAGGACTTCTGAGGAGGTCATTTCAGGAGGGAGGTGTCCAGTCGCTTTGCAAAGTTACCCCTCAGCAAATGCGTGTATTTGAGGGGTTGAGGGATGTTGGAGTTTGGGGACTCGATTTTGGAAAGGGGGTGGCTAGGAGTTACCGAGAGCTGTCGGGGGCGGGAGTTGTCGCTTCGCTAAGTCAGGTCCCCTCCATTGCGTCCAGCCAGAGAGCGAGTTTGAGGACCAGCTGAGCGCTGGGGGCTTAAGGGGGCTCCCGGGAATGTGGGATCTTTAAATGTAGGCGGGGCTTGCGGGGTCGCCGGGGGCGGTGCCAACCCGGGCTCGACCAATCGGCGGCTTCGCCCGCGTCGCGCCGCCCCCTCCTCTCCCGGCCCGGGCGGGCGCTCGCCCCCGGCCGGGCCCGTGGACAGGGCGGCGGGGGATGCACCCGCCGCCGCCCCCGGCCCGGCCGCCTCCGGGCCGCGCGTCCGCCGTCTGCTGCCCGCCCCGTCTGCGGCCCCGGCCCCCACGCGAGGGTCTGCGGCCGCGCGGGACCTTCTCCCCTCCAGCCTCTTCTGCCCGTGGGAGCCGAGCCCTGCAGGTACGGGGTGGGACGGACGGGAGCTCCCAAGGAGGGAGGCACGTCCCGAAGGGGGACGCGGTTCAGGACAGGGGCCAGGACAGAGGTCTCCGTAGGGTCTGGCACCCAAGGGACACAGAGAGGAGGGAATGTATATATGTGCACTGCCTGAGTGAGTGGAGATTCACAGACCCCCCATTCCGGAGGGGGAAGGTACTGGGTTCACTTTGGCGGGGGTAGAGCAGTGAGTCTCCAAACTCCATAGATACGGTGGGGAGAGCTCTTGGGGTGAAGGCAGTGACCTGGGACTGACTTGGGAATAGGAGGGAGGAGACCCTCACCACGGCTGCCTAGATTCTGCCGTCAGGGTCGCCCCTGCAGGGCCAGGGAGCCGGGTCTCCCAGCTGTCCCTGGACAGAGGTTGGGGTACCCCAGACAGGGCACTGCCTTGGCTGTCCTGGAGGGCAGGGCTGCAGATGTGAGTGCTGTAGGCTGGGGGCCAAATGGGAGATGCTGATGGAGATGGGTCAGAGCGGAGGGTGCTGTTGGAGGCAGCCATGGGGAGAGCCGGGCAGGCTAATTGCACCCTGCTGACTGCTGGCAGGTTCTTGACTGGTGGTGATGGGGGCGGGGGTGCGCCCAAGGGATTTGGGCAGTCCGTGCCTTACTGTACCCACTTCCGGGCAGCTCAGGGCTGGGAGAGCAAGTGGATCCTGTTCACCCTGCAGAGCTAGGGCCAGAAGAGTGCTGGTGGGTGGGGTGTCTTGGGGTCCTTACCCACCCCCCACAGGGACACACGCCCCACAGCTTACCCACACATCCTGGAAGATTCCGCCATGTGATGCTCTGGCCATGGTTCCTAGAAGTGGTGGGGTGGGCATTTCGCCCCAAAGGGGCTCTGCCTTGGAGACTGACAGGCAGGGGGCACCTTCTTGCCCAGCTCTGAAGGACGGAGTGCGGCACTGGGCAACAGCGCCGCCAGAAGCGTACCGCGACCGCGCGAAGAGCATTTTCTGCGTGAGATCTCACTTCCATCCTGGCCGCTGACCTGCTGCGGGGGGCACAGAGTCTTCCCTTTACTGAAGAGGCAGCTGAGGAGAGGGCAGTGACTTCATCCCGGCTAGGACGCCCAGGGTCCCTCCCAGGCCGCCACTGCACCAACTCGTCATTTGTGAAAGGGCTCACTCGAGGACCTTTGGGGTCTGGCCAGTTTATATTTCTGTTGGGTGGGAAGCCTTGGAGGAGCCAGCTGCCCTGTTCCCTGCCACCTGCCTACCTCCTCCGACTCCTCAGGAGTCCACCTGGGGGCCCCCTGCCCTGTGTGGCTCACAAGATTCCCACAGCGTCTCTTGGGATGGTGTGAAAGCGGGGGCTCAGCTCATCCTCCCATCCCAGCCTTCAGTGAACAGAGGTCTCATGCCCCAGACATGTTAGGTGGTTTTGGCGATTCCAGGGACCCTGAAAACCAGATGCAGCTCAACAGCGTGTTTCGAACCTTTTAGAACTCATTGGCAAACCCACGGCCTTCACCCAGAAAAACACACCCTTCCGTAGACATCTAAACCTTGGCCAGAGTTTCAGAGAGGCTCCTGGTTCTTTGGGAATTTCTGAGGGGCCCAGGGACCCCAGCTTGAGGCCCAGTTGCAGTGGGGGAGGGGAAGGCAGACCTGGGAAGGTGTGGGGTCTCTTGTCCCCTGGGCCCTCTGGTCCCACCTAGACCGCAGAAGCTGCCCCCTTTTATGGAATCTCAGGCAGGCCACTCTGTCCTTCTGTGTCCTCTGAGATCACGGAAAGGGTCAGGCACCCACCATGCCTGTGTCTCGAGCTCTGTGGTCCTTCAAGGGCAGGGCCGGCTGGCTCCCTTTCCAGATGGTGGCTTGTCAAGAGGGAAGTTGGCAGATCCTGCCACCCACTGCCCCCCAGATGGCACCAACTTAGTTCTTGCCCTTCCTGGCTTTTTGACCTTGGGCAAGGTGCTAAACCTCTCTGAGCCTGTGTCCCATCTGTGAAATGGGAGCAGGATTGCCACCTGCCTCACTGAGTGGCAATGGGGATTAAGTGTGATAATTCTGATAAAGAGCTCAATAAAGCCCACAATAAGCGCTAGGTATACATTAACATCATGAGCCCCGGGAAGCCCCCGCCTCCCTCCCTCCCAGAGGCCACCTGTACCCATCCCCCCAACCCCTCCCTGCCCAGGGCACCTTAGGACCAGGCCGCCAGGCAAGGAGGAGCATGGCGGACACACGGCTGAATTTGGCCTGTGCGTCGGGCGGCTGAGTCACATCCCCAAATTGCATCTTCATCAGTGCGTTTCGGAAGGTCGTTTGCAGCACCCCCACGCTCTCCAGGCTCTGTCTGCCAGGCCACTTGCCTCTCCTGCCTGTGCCCCTGAGCCCCGAGTGAGGACCTTCTGCACTCTCAGGAGAGATGGTAGGAGTGGTGCCTGGGGTTTCCTCATCTCCTGGATGAGAACAGGGTCTGGGGTTGCTGCGTGTGTCCCGGTGACAAGCTCTCAGCCCCACCTAGCAGCTGATGGCCCTCTGCGTGGCAAGCAGGGGCCCTAGCCCAGGAGGAGAGTGGCACCTGAGTGTTCGTGAAGGTGGAGTGAGAGATCAGGGCCAAGGTCAGCCTTATAAACTGAAGTACTGGGCCTGCAGGAGACCAGCCTGTGTAAACCACGAGGCGTTCGACCTGTGCGCACCAGGCGTCATCAGCAGAAGCCTCAGGCCGCAGGTGGCCACGGCTTGGTTGATGTAATGGCTGGGAGTGGCGAGGCAAGGGGCACATTCTGATGCTCATGAGGTCACTGCCGTGGAAGGAATGTTTCTTGTGCTCCTACTCTGTGCTGGAACCAGCATCTGGGAAATGTCGTGGGTGGGACAGATGCTGTCTGGGGAGAGGCCAGACAAGGGGCTCAGGAGGTCCCGCGGTGCATGCGGTGGATCCCTGGCCAAGGTGGCCCGTGCCCTGCCTGGTAGCATGGCTCGTCTTGGCCCGTCCTGGTGTGACATTTTCCGTATCTGTCCCCCATAGATTGTGGTTTCTAGGCTGGGGAAGCATCCTGTGTGTACACATAGCTCTCTCTCCTGGGCCTGGTACGTAGGGGCCCACAGCGCATGCCAGCCTGGCCTTTTCAAAGGCGACAGCACTTGTTGGGGGAATCTCACAAGGCGGCCCAGTCTAGAATCTGCCCTATAAGGAGATGGCCCCTTTATAGCACAGTGCCTCAGTTTCCCTAGCTATAAAACTGGACCCCCTTCTTGGGGACATTGTGAGGATGGAGGAGAAAATTTGTGGGAAGGCCAGAGCCTGGCACGTAGTAGATGTTCACTAAACATCAGCTTGTGGGAGGGGGAGATGATGGGGTGGGAGTGCAGGGGAGGGTCTAGCAAGTTGTGACCCCAGAGGCGAGACTCCAGGCAGCCTCATCATATATGTGTTACTGTCATCAGCGTCCTGGCTCTCAAACATGATGCCAGAGGACACTGCCCTATCCAAGGGCAGAATTCAAGGATATCGGGGTGATCAGTCTGCTCCTTGGTAGCCTGGTGGGGAAACTGAGGCTGGCCTAAGGTCACAGGGCTGGGCTGAGCACATCTCCTAAGACCCTATAGAATCAATTCTGGGATCTTAGAGCTGAATACTAGGTTGCCACACTGGTCATGGAATCTCTTTGGAGATCACAGACCTCCTTCCACCCAGGCAGGAGGGACCGGGGGTCTCTATGTGGTCTCATAGCCACAGCCATGGTCCTAATATTCCCACACTGATGTGTGTTCAGGCTTTTGGACAGCTCTAGGGCAGGAACTGGAGGCTCAGTAGGGTGAGATTAACTTGTCCAAGAGCCTGAAGGTCAGGAGGAGTCAAGCCTGGATTGGAACCACCTCCTGACCACACACTTACACAGCCTTTGGCCCTCCCCGGCAAACCTGCTGGCAAATTCCATCTCCAGACATTCAGAAGTATTTACTGAGCGTCAGCTGTGTGCTGGGCATTGTTCTAGGTGCCCGGAGACAGAACATCAGTGGGCAAAGTTTCGGTAAGAGGGTGTTCTAAGCAGAGGGCACAGCAGGTGCAAAGGCCCCAGGCAGGACCAGGCTTGTCCAGATCTGGTGATGGGGATGCTTATGTGGCTGGAAGGGAATGACTCTGGGGAGAGGGAGAAGGCTGAGGTGGGTAGGAGCCAGACCACAGAGGACCTCATGGCCCCAGTGAGGACTTTGGTTTTTATGCAACGGCACTCAGGAGCCTTGGGAGGCTTTTCAAGCAGGGGAGGAATGTAGGCTGACTCGGGATGGCCAAGCTGCGTGTCAGCCACTCTGAGTTCATGGCTTTCTGAGGCTCACAGTGTTCTGGGGTGGTGGCAATGGTTCATGGCCCTCTGGTCAGTTGGCCAGGCCCTGCCATGACTGTGTCCCTTATGCCCTCAGGTCAGTGCAGGAGCCCAGTCTCTGAGCCATGCTGGGCCCCGGGCGGCCTACAGCGAGCCCAAGCCCGGCACCCACATAGCCATGAACAGCCACAGCCACGTCCACAGCCATAATGGCTGCGGGGGGCGGCCGCTGGGCAGTGGGCCGGGTGCCCTGGGCAGAGACCCTTCAGAGCCCGAGGCCGGCCACGCCCCCCAGCCCCCACATGGCCCGAGCCTCCAGGTGGTGGTGGCCAAGGGCGAGCCAGCCCAGCCCTCACCTGGCAGTCCCCGGGGGCAGCACCAGGACCAGGAAGATGAGGAAGACGATGAAGAGGATGAGGCAGGCAGGAGGAGGGACTCAGGGAAGACCCCGAACGTCGGCCACCGCCTGGGCCACCGGCGGGCACTCTTTGAGAAGCGGAAACGCCTCAGCGACTACGCCCTCATCTTCGGCATGTTCGGCATCGTTGTGATGGTGACCGAGACGGAGCTGTCCTGGGGGGTCTACACCAAGGTAGGCACGGCCCTTCCCCACAGCACCCCAGGGGGGCCCCTCTAGGCCCACCTGGCTCCCCCACCACCCCTTGCGCATGGGATTAGGGACCACATTGGCCGCAGGAGAAGCAGGTGGAGGATGCTGGGGGTGGGGGGCCCTAGAGGCCGGGGATGGGAAACTGGGCTTCCCACTGCACCCACCTCCTGGGGGTAGCAGGCAGGCTGCACATGGGGGAGTTAGGCTCCAGCCCACTCCTTCTGCCCTTGCACCAAGAGGTCACACCCTGGCTTAAGGTGGGGGAGGGGGGGCTGTCCCCCAGGCCGGGCCTGGGACAGGAGAGCACCAAAGAAGGCCTGGGCGACAGAGCCTGGAAAGAGCCTCTCCTTCTGAGAGTGGTTGGGCTGGGTTATGAGCCTGGCTATGTGTCCCCTCATGCCACCCGAGGATGTGTGAGGACAGAGAGAGATCAGGGCATATCATCCTGTAAACTATGAAACAGTGAAGGTGGATGAGGCCATATAAACTGTGAATTCCTGTGCCTACATGAGGCGAGGCCTCATAAATTGCCACATGGTAGGCCTTTAGGAGGCCAGGCCTTATACGCTGCGAAGTATAGGCCAGCCTTGCCATCACTCCAGGCCTAAGGAGTAAGGACAGGAGCATGGCTTCCTGAGTGGACAGCCCAGGTGGGGGGTCAGGAGGGCTGCCCATCCCCCAACATCCTTGTCCTCCAGCCCTCTGCTCTCTCTCTCTGCCCAGGAGTCCCTGTACTCATTTGCACTCAAATGCCTCATCAGCCTCTCTACGGTCATCCTGCTGGGCCTGGTCGTCCTCTACCACGCCCGGGAGATCCAGGTCAGTGCCCAGCTGGCCTGGGCAGCTCCCCTCCCCATGCCCCAGAGACCCCCCTCCACGCCAGCCACCTGGGACCCTAGCCCCCTAAAACATAAAAGGACCAATAGCGTCTTTCTAGAAAAAAGGAAAAAAGACCTCTGTGAAGACACACCCTTTAGATCACTCCAAATTTCTTTGGAATGCCTATGTTTTACTTTTCATTGATTATTTGGAAAAAAAAAAAGAAGAAGAACAGTGAGGGAGCTGGAGATGAGCTGGGGTCTTCTGAGGTTTGGCAGCCTTGGAAACCAGTGTTTATAACACCAGGCTTCTGTTCCTATTTGATCAGACCCTGCATTTGAAAGGTTTATTACATGTCAGAGAGTTTGTTCTCCTACTTCGGGAGTTAATTGAAACCTCGGTGGGCCCCAGAGAGCCCAGCTCAGGCAGGGCATGTTGGACACCTGTGCCCACAGCAGGCAGAGGTCACCTGCAGCTGGTACCAGGGCCTGGGGATGCCAAAGGCTATCAGGTCTGGCTCCAGAGTCTGGCCTCTGGCCTCTGGCCTCTGACCTCAAGGAGACATGGTCTGGCGGGAGATGGGTGTAGGAAAATCCTGCCTGGGTTGCACCACCCGTAGACATCCCTGGGGACACCCAGGGTCTGGCACGAAGGAAGGGCCCTGGACGTGGCTGGGGGCAGGGGAGGGGACAGTGAAACGTGAGCTGGAAGGAAGCAGTTCTTAAGGTACAGCAGCTGGGGACTCTTGGTTTTGGCTCAGGTCATGATCTCAGGGTTGTGAGATCAAGCCCAAGTTGGACTCCATGCTCAGCTCAACACCGAGTCTGCTTGAGATTCTTTCCCCCTCCATCCCCCTCTGCCCCACCCCCTGCTCATGGGTGTGCACATCCGTGCTCGCTCTCTCTCAAATAAATAAATAAATAAATAAAATCTTTAAAACAAAAACAAAAAATGAAGCACTGTGTGAGTGTGCTTGGGCTGCCATAACAAAGCCCCACAGCCAAGGGGCTTAAACAACAGAAACATATTCTCACAGTTCTGGGGCTAGAAGTCCAAGGTCAGGTGCTGGCAGGGTTGCTTTCTGCTGAGGCCCCTCTCCTAGGCTTGTAGGCAGCCGCCTTCTCCCTGTGTCCTCTCCACTCTCTCTGTGTGTGCCCATCTGTGGCCCTCTTAAGAGGACACCAGTCCTGTAGGATCAGGGCCCCTCCTTGATGACCCCATTTAACTTTAATTCTTTAAAGGCTCTCTCTCCAAATACAGTCACAATGGGAGTAGGGCTTCCACTTACGAATTTTGAGGGACAGTCTAGAACACTCCACCCACCGGCCCATCCCCCAAGTTCCTGTCCTCCTCCCAAGCAAAGGGCATTTACTGCATCCCAACAGCCCACAGAGTCTTACTCCATCCCAGCACCAGCTCCAGGTCGCAAGACTCCGTTAAGTATCAGTTACGGGTAAGACTAAGGCTCACTTCCTCTCCAGCCGAGAGCCAGACAAGTCATTGTCTCCCAAAATACAGGGCTGGGACAGGAATAGGCGAGACATTCCCATTCCTAAAGAGAAATCCGAAAGAAGAAAAGGTGCCAGGTGCTGAGCATGTCAAAGAGTTAGCAAGGCAAATTCCATCAGATTTGCTCAAGAATAATCCTCTTGGGCTCAGTGCTCCAGCTTCCGAGCCCACTGGGGTGGCCGCGTTGCCCCCTTGGCTCTGGGTGGTGACCTTTTGTGACTGCCTTCTTCGATTCAGCATGTTTATGAGGTTCTTCCACGTTGTAGCAAGTATCAGAGCTCATCCCCGCCCCCCTTTTTTTTTTTAAGATTTCATTCATTCATTTGAGAGAAAGCACAAGAGGGGAGAGGGTCAAAGGGAGAAGCAGACTCCTGCTGAACAGGGATCCTGATGTGGGGCTGGATCCCAGGACTCTGGAATCATGCTCTGGAGCTGAAGGCAGACGCTTAACCATCTGAGCCACCCAGGCACCCCTCCCCCCCCTTTTAAAAAAGATTTTATTTATTTGAGAGAGAGAGTGGGGGGAGAGGAAGAGAAAGACTCTCAAGCAGACCTCACATCCAGGACAGAGCCTGGTGCAGGGCTCGATCTCACCACCCGAGGTCATGACCTGAACCGAAATCAAGAGTCGTACACTTAACCAACTGAGCCATCCAGGCGCCCCCCAGAGGGCTGAATAATGTTCCATTGTATGGAAGGACCCCGTTTTGGTTTTCCATTCATCCATAGACGGACACCTGGGTTGTTCCCACTTGCCACAATTGTTCGCCTACAGGGCTTTGTTCCAATGCCTGTTTTCATCTCTCTTGCGTTATATACCTAGGAGTGAGCTGGCTGGGTCATTGGTGACTCTGTTTTCCTCTGTTTCGGGAGCGCCCGTCCCCCATTTAACTGGAATTGTGGCTAACCCCGCGAGCTAGGGAGTTTCGCATCCAAGGCCATGTTTCTTGCAAAAGCCACGCGGGGGCGGGGCGGGGGGGCGGCCTCGGGCTGGGGTCTCATCGCGGGGGCGCGCGCTCGAGTGCGAGCCCCACCACCGCCCGCCCTCCGCAGCTGTTCATGGTGGACAACGGGGCAGACGACTGGCGCATCGCCATGACGTGCGAGCGCGTCTTCCTCATCTCTCTGGAGCTCGCCGTGTGCGCCATCCACCCGGTGCCCGGCCACTACCGCTTCACGTGGACCGCGCGGCTGGCCTTCACGTACGCGCCGTCGGCGGCCGAGGCCGACGTGGACGTGCTGCTGTCCGTGCCCATGTTCCTGCGCCTCTACCTGCTGGGCCGCGTGATGCTACTGCACAGCAAGATATTCACAGACGCTTCCAGCCGCAGCATCGGCGCCCTCAACAAGATCACCTTCAACACACGCTTCGTCATGAAGACGCTCATGACCATCTGCCCGGGCACCGTGCTGCTCGTCTTCAGCATCTCCTCCTGGATCATCGCCGCCTGGACCGTGCGAGTCTGTGAGAGGTACGCCCCCCGCCCCTGGTGCCCGCCGCGCCCACCCGTGGCTCCAGAGCCCCAGGGCTCCCCCGGCCATCACCCCCCCACCCCCCCACCCATGGGATATCCACCCCCTACCCCCACTCCTGGCCTCAGTGACCATCCCTCGAGCGCAGCCCCCTCATCCCCGGGACTCCAGCCTGGCGTGCCCCACCCCCACCCCCACCCACACCCCTCTGGGACACCGGCCCTCTCCCCCAGGGAGGGGGGTCTTGTGCTCCTTTCTCTGCTCCTCGGCTGCCAGCAGCCGACCTCTGACCTCTGGCCCGGGGAAAGTGGGGGCAGCAGGAGCAGGATGGCCCCCATCTGCCTGTTTTCCCCCACAGTTTAACCTGCTCTCCTTCTCCCCTCTGCCCGCCCCACCGGACTGTAGGGAAAACATGTGAGTCCTACCCTTGGCCGAGCTGTGTGCACAGAGCTGCTGCCGTCCTGCCCGCCAGGAATTTAAGATTAGCTGCCGCAAGGGGAGGGCACAGGGAGGTGAGGCGGGGTGGTCGTGACCAACCCCGAGTCCCAGCAGGGCCGGGGCAGGCAAGTTTGGGGTCGGGCGGAGGACAGCGGGAGGCAGGCTGCTCTCGGGCCGTGTGCACTGGGCACCCTGGAGGGCCTTGTGTCCAAGGTTTGGGAGGGTTTTGTTTGGACAGCTGACCTTGGGGGACTGGGACATCCCCTCCCAAGAGTTGACTGGGTCTGGGGTAAATAAAAACTGGCCCAGCCTTTAGTACCTCTCCCTGCCCGGGGTTTGTTCTGAACAGCCCTGGAAAGGTGTGGGCCATCAAACCAGTTTACAGATGAGGAAACGGAGACTCTGGGGCAAAGGGACATTCCTGAGGCCTGATTCCTGGGCGGCTCTGGAGACCCGCAGGGTGCTTCAGGAAAAGGAGGGTCCCCACTGGGCCTCTTAGGGCGTGGGAGTGCCTTGCCTGGGAAGGAGCCTCTTCTACCTCATGCCTTGCTGGGGAAGGCCCTGGAGGGGTCTGTGGCACGTGGTGCTGGGACTGGGCTTCCTGGGGGGTCTCTGGGCTGGACCTGCCCCCCAGGACCCCAGTCTTCACCCCTTTATGCCTCTCTCCATGGCTCCTGCCTCAGCCTGATGTGGGGCTCATGGCGGAGAGGCCCCAGCTCTTGCTGTCATCGAGGCCTACCATCTCGGGACCCAACAGGGTCTCCTTGGACCCCTGATGTACCCCCATGCCGGTACCCACAGCCAATCCCCCACCCTGTTGGGGGGGGTCAGGATTGTGGTCTGGGAAGTGAGAGAGGGCACCCCTCATCAGGCATCCTTGAGGTGCAGTCTGGGTCACTGCAGGGGTCCCCGGGTTGGGGCAGGGAACGGGGCAGGACCGGGGGGGCAGCCAATCCTAAATTCTGAGCCCTATGATGCTGCTTGCAAGCCCCCTCGCCTGCCTCGCTCCGCCCCTGCGGCTCTGGCCCACCCCCACCCTGCCTCCCGCATGCCCCCCACTCCCTGGTCCTAGGTAGTTCTGGGTGGTCCTGCAGCCCCCACCACAGCTCCAGCCAGGCCTGGGGCTCCCCCACCCACTGCTGGGGGCCTCCCTCTTCTCTTGTCCCCTGGGTGTGGGATGCTGGTTGACCGAGAGGTGGAGACCAGGGTAACCTGGGGCTCAGGCGCCTCAGTGAAAGATAGGATTCCGTCCCATGTCCCCCTCACCCAGCAAGCAGACTGCAGCCCAGGCAGAGGGCCCTGGAGTGGCATCCGGCACCCAGGGGTGGGCAGGGACTCCCAAACACCAGACCTGCTGGGAAGGGCTCCATCCGCCTTCGGGGCCTCTGTCATCTCCCCCTCTCCAGCCCTCCCCACCAGCTTCCCCTGTCCTGCCCACCACCTCTGTGCCACCTCAATTGACCTCTAACCTTGAAGTCCCCCCCCCGCCCCCCCCGCTGTCAGGGCCTGAGGCCTGGGAAGGAGTCCGTCACCTGGAAGGGGCTCCCTGAGCTGGAGGGGTTTTGCAGGCTGGGGGCTGGGCTAGAGCAGAACCCTTGAGCTGACTCCGCAGACCCCCAGCCTGGGCTGACCATTGGTAGAACTTGTTTGTAGCCCACGTGACCAGGTTCACAGGGTTGGCTATGATCAGGGACAAAACCCTGTCCCTTGGGGCCCCCCATACCAAAAGGTTAGCCCCAGGCCTCCCCACAGTGTCAAGCTGCCCCCTCCCTCCTCACTCGCAAGCAAACCCCAGGCCCGCATTGGGGTAATGGGTGCTGCCCCAAACATAATGACTTCCCTTTTTCTCCCAAGTCCTGCAATACTGCAGTCCTCCAGCCTCCTGGGTCCCCCAGTGGTCCTCTTCCCCCCATGGGGCCTTGCTGGCTGGGGAAGTTCTTCCCGGTGTCTGACCTGAATCCTTACCTCTACTCCCTGCCGCTTCTGGTGCCCGTGGCCACCTGTGTCTGCGTCTGTCTGTGTGTCTGTCTTTGGGAGGGGGATCGTGTGTACACGTGTGGACATACCCTCACTTGGCCAGCTCTGCCCCATAACAAGGGCCGGGGAGGGCACACATCCTGGGCAGTAGCTCAGGGTGGGGGTGAAGGGAGAAGATTGGAAGGGATGCTGGGAGGAGGGCGTGGGTGCCATCTGCCCCATGGTACTCTTGGGAAGGTGCTAACCAGGCCGCTCTCCCTGGCCCACAGTAGTGCCTTTATTACTTTGAGCCCTCGGAGGGATCAGCTTCTTGCAGTCAAGGTCCCCGCATGGCCAGGTGGACCTGGGGCCCTGGTGTCCTGGTGCTTCCTGCCCCAGGGGGATGATGAACTCAGAGAGACCCGTGTGGACCGACTGGGCCTTCCCTGGCTCCCCTCAGGTACCACGACAAGCAGGAAGTGACCAGCAACTTTTTGGGGGCCATGTGGCTCATCTCCATCACCTTCCTCTCCATCGGCTATGGTGACATGGTGCCTCACACCTACTGCGGGAAGGGCGTGTGCCTGCTCACTGGCATCATGGTAAGGGCAAGGGCCCTTGCATACCCCCTGCTGGTGGGGAGCTCACCCCATTGCGAGCTATAATGCATCAGAGTTCCTCCTTGTGTCATCCTGCCCCTTCACCGCCCCCCCACCCTTACCTCTGCCATGACTCAGAATCGCACCCTTGGGCTTCCTGGGGGCATCTCTTCTTGGTTCCTTCCAGCCCTAGGTATGGAGCTCCTGTGGTACCCACGGGGTTAGATGCTGTGGCCCACTCTTAGCACAGAGTTTTCTTTGCCTTTTATTCTCTGCAACCTGCTTAATTCACAGCCCTTGGGTCCAGGGCTAGGGGCTTGATGCTTCCGTGCCTCAGTTTCCCCCACTGTAACCAGTGCCCACTTCTGCTCATTGTAAGGTTCCAGTCTGTTCCTTTATATAAAATACCTAGAATCATGAATGCTGTGGACAGCCAGTCAACACCCTCTGGGTTGTGCATCACAGCCCAGTTCCCCATCCTTGCCTGACGACTGGGGTATCCCAAGCACCCCACTGAGCCCTGATGGTGTGAAGTTTGTCTCATGTGACTCAGTAGACCCTGGCAGCACCCCATGTCCCCCAAAGACTTCTCAAGGCCATCTGTGAGTGTGGGCCGCCTTTGATATGGAGCACCTTCTTTCCCTGATTCCATCCTCAGTTTTCCTGTTCATCCCTTCCTTCTGGAAGCTTCTTTCTCCAAACTTCCACCTCCTTCACAAATGCTTTTCCGTGTTTTGGATTATGAATTGTTGGGTGCACGGTCCCCTACTCCTCTCCCCAATGCCCAGTTAATAACATGTTCAGTTGTGAAAATCAATGAACACCAGTAGGCCATAGAAGCCAACCTGATCCCACCCTCAGGGTTCACCCCAGGCCACTCCTTGGAGTGTATCCTTCCTTATCTCTGCACAGAGAGATGCATTTGTTCTTGCGAAAACAAGACCCCATCCCCACAACAGTGTCCTTTCCTACTGCAGACGGGAGGGCTTCTCGCAGTGGCTGTACCCATCCTGTTTCGTGGCTTGTAGACTGCTCAGTTGTCACTATCCCCCGAGGCCCGTGGCTCTGTCCCCTCTTCACCCCTCATCCCCTCTAAGCCATTTGGGCATAAGCCAGGGGTCCTTGTCCTCTTCCTCCCCCCGCCAGGGCTCCCTTCCCCTGGCCAAGCTGACATGGCCCCTGTCTTGTGAAATGGCATCACACCGATTTGTTTACGTTATTTTGCAAGAGGGGGAAAGGGGAAAGATCGGCCACAGTCCAACCCCCACAACAAGCAGATGAACTTTGCAAAATGAGCAAAGAAAAGTATTCGGGCAAGGTGAGGTCAAACCCAGAAAGCCCAAGCCAAAATGGAAGAAAAGCTGAGTTCCATTCTCTGGGACCTGGCTCCTTCCAGAAAATGAGATCTGTGTGTGGCCCGCAAATCTTGCTAGCTGCCCTCGCACCTGGCGCACACACGAGCAGTCACACTTGGGTCGGTCTCCAGCTCTCCTGTCTTTCTTTCTTTGAGAGAAGAAAGAGAGAGCACGAACAGGGAGAGGAGCAGAGGGAGAGGGACAAGCAGACTCCGCACTGAGCATGGAGCCCAACACAGGGCTTGATCCCAGGACCCCGAGATCATGACCTGAGCCGAAATGAAGAGTCAGTCACTTAACTGACTGCGCCACCCAGGTGCCCCGGTCTCGAGCCCTTCTGTTAGCTCTCTCCTCTTCCACCCTTGCCCAAGTGTGTCCCCTCCCGGTCACTGCCCCTCCCAGTATCTCAGCAACCATGCATTTGCCTGTTCTTGCACTTCAGGGCATCCCAGTGTGGCCCCTCTGAGCCTGGCATCTTTGGCCAGACATGGTTTCCATGCTCTTATGCAGAGCCGGCAGATGACCTTTTTTCCCACATGCATAGTATTCCATGTGGAGGCTTCCAGCACTTTTCTTTGCCCCAGTGGACAGGGCTTTTTCCAAGATCGGACCCCAGGAACCCATGACCGGGTTTTCTCAGAGGGTGACCTTGTGCCCATCCCGCCCAGGTTGGGCATGTGGCCATCCGGACCTGCCCAGGACCATCCGATGGTGTCCCTGGCCCTTGCCCACCCCTCCCCATAAGTGTTTCCTTCCATCCCTAAGAACAACTGAACTACAGCCCAGCACCCCCCACCCCGGCCCCCCGCCCCCCAAGCCCCAGGGGCTGAGCCCAGCCTCTCCCTCCTTCCTTCTTAGAGGTAGCAGCCTGGCAGGTAAGGCACCAGGAATAGACTTCGGTGCAGTTGGGGACCACCTGGCCTCACCTGCTCCTGCCACCTGCCTTGGGCACTTCTGGAGCTGATGACACCTCCTGGGTGTTCTAGGCTCCCTGGCCCCTGCTTCGTGGTGGCAGACCCTCCCCATGTCACTTTTTGCTGCCCCCCTCCACCTGTCAGCCCTCTCCTCTCTCTTGGGTCCTCACTCCTGCCCTTCTGTCACCCCTAGGCTGCCCCCCAGTAGACAAGTGAGTCCTCTCTGACCTCTTTCACTAGCCAGGAGGTCTGGCTGCCATTTAGGGCATCCTGGGGAACGTGGTTGCATCAAGCAGGGAGCCTGCCATGGGAGAGGCACCCTCCCCTCCACTTCCTCACCTCCTGGGACCTCCACCTTGCTTCTTCCTACCTGCAAATGCCACCCCTGCCAGGCAGTCAGCCTGACCCTTCCCTCACGCTGCCTTCTTCCTGCCAGCTGACCCCTACCGTGAGTGTAGAAAGACATGTCCTCTGGGTCTCTGTCCCCAGCACCCAGACCCCAAAGCCTTGATGGAAATGCTTCCAAATTCTCCCTCCTCCATGGTCATCAGTGCTGAATTTACCTGCAGATCCTTCCTTTTCTTCTCCCTTTCTTGTCTCTGAGCCTCAATTTCCCCCTCTGCCCAGCGGGGATAAGAATGGTCCTACCTCCCAGGGCTCTTGGGGGTCAAATGAGACATTTGATGGTAAGCAGGTAGGGCCGGGAGTCAGTGACCTCAACAGGTGGGATCTGCCAGCTCTGTGGGCTTGGAGGGTAAAGGTGAGGGTGGAATCAGGGCAGGCTTCCCGGAGGAGGGAGGGTGTCCTGCCTGTGGCCTGGGACCTACATGAGGCAGGACACTGATGTGTTCCCCACCCTCCACATGCAGGGGGCGGGCTGCACAGCGCTCGTGGTGGCCGTGGTGGCCCGGAAACTGGAGCTCACCAAGGCAGAGAAACACGTGCACAACTTCATGATGGACACTCAGCTCACCAAGCGGGTAAAGACGTGCATCACAGCCACTTCCTTTCCCAGTCATCAAGGGCAGACCCTCCCCACCTTACTTCTGTACACAGTGGGCATGTCCACAAGCCCACAGGTCACTGCACTGCCTCGTGCTCTGCCGCCCATGCGAATGTTCATGAGCCACGCACAGAGACAGGGCAGTGGCCCCGGGTGTCCACCCATGTGCCCAGTCATCGGCCCACCCTGAGCCACACAGCAAGAGGCAGGCATTTTAGGGCCAGTCAGCCAGATACAATCTATGAGCTGTCTGACCTTGGCTGGTCAACCTCTCTGTGCCTCAGTTTCCCCTTGTATAAAGTGAGAGAGATACCAGCATGTGCAAATTCACTGATTTAACATTTGCAAGGTGTATAGGAAGGGTCTGGCCCATGCTGAATGATATAAATGAAATGCACACACACACACAGACCCAGAGAGCACAGATGTGGACATGTAAACATGGCCTCACCTTACACGTCCAGGACCCCAGAGGGGCATGTCCAGGAGTTTCTAAGAGTTTCTGGAAGTTTCCAGAACCTTCTGCAGTTTTGTGCCTACCTTGAGAAACTGTTCTTTTTCTGGGCCCAGGTAAAAAATGCCGCTGCTAACGTTCTCAGGGAGACGTGGCTCATCTACAAACACACCAGGCTGGTGAAGAAGCCAGACCACGCCCGGGTTCGGAAACACCAGCGTAAGTTCCTCCAAGCCATCCATCAGTAAGTCCAGCACCTTTCCCGCTCACGTTTCTGTGTCCACCTGGTGCAGAGGCAGCTGTGGTCCTCGGGAGGAGGCTATGGGCCAGGCCAGACAGCTCAGCATGGCCTCGTCATGGCCCCTCCCATTCTGGGTGGTCAGTTGTCTGGGGCTTGCAGCCTCTGTGCTGGGTGGGATGGTGGGATGGTCAGAAGGAGGCAGGTGATGGGCCCAGAACTTGTCTAGGGCAATCACCTTTGATAAGTCAGGCAACTCAGGGGCACCTGGGTGGCTCAGTCAGTTAAGCATTTGCCTTCGGCTCAGGTCATGATCTCAGGGTCCGGGATCAAGCCCTGTGTCGGGCTCCTCACTCAGCAGGGAGTCTGCTTGTCCCTCTTCCCTTCCCCCACTTGTGCTCTCTCTCTCTCTCTCAAATAAATGAAGTCCTAAAAAAAGAAAAAGAAAAGTCTGGCAGTCCACCCAACATAAATGGCAAGAAGCATATTTTATTCTCCAAAATAGCCAAAATTATCTTACCTTTTAGATATTAAGCAATTTCCCTTTTTTGCTTTGGCTGCTAGGAAGCTCAGAATTTACTTTGTGTCCTGATCCATGTGATCAAGTGGGGTAATTAGAAATTACTTGATTTTCTCTGTTGCCCCTTTGTCCTGAGAATTTTTTAATCAAGTTAGTTCTCATCCCTCACTGCTCACTGGAATCACCCACAGGGCTTTAAAAATCCTACAGGCTGCACCCAACACCAGTTACAGCAGAGTCTGCGATGCACCCTGGGCTTAAGTTTAAGTTCCTCCAGTGAGTCCAGTGAACAGCTGGAGTTGGCAAACTTTACCTGTAAGGGCCAGAGAGTAAATATTTGAGGCTTTTTGGACCAGACAGTCTGTCGCAACTACTCTGCTGTTGTAGCAGGAATGCGGTAAAGAGGAGTGGGTGGACCATGCTCTAATAAAACTTTATTTTCCCCAACAGGCAGCTGGCCAGATTTGGGCTGGGCCAGGCTCTAATATGCCACTCACTGTCCACTAGAAATATCATGTAAACCACTATATAATTTTAAATTTTCTAGTAGCCACATTTAAAAAAAGGTAAAAGAAAACAAGTTACAAAGATTTTAATATATTCATTCAATATATTATAAATATTATTTTAATACGATCAATATAAAAATCATTAATGAGATATTTTAGAAAGCTTTCAACACTAAATCTTCAAAGTCTATTGTGTATTTTACATTTATAGTCCATTTGTATTCAGACCAGCCACATTTCAAGTGCTTAGTTGCCACATACAGGATGGATGGAACATGGGGTGCCTGGCTGGCTCAGTTGGTTAAGTGTCTGCCTTTGGCTCAGGTCATGATCCCAGGGTCAGTCCTGGGATCGAGTCCCTCATCAGGCTCCTTGCTCAGCGGGGAGCCTGCTTTTCTCCCTCTGCCTGTGGTTTCCCCTGATTGTGCTCTCTCTCTCTCTCTCTCAAATAAATAAAGTCTTTTAAAAAAATAAAATAAAATAAAACGGACAGTCTGATCAGTGTTAACATGTATATACCCTTGAAACAATTACCACAGGCAAGATAAAAAACAGGTCCATTGCCCCCAGAGTTTCCGGGGGCTCTTAACTGTCTGTCTTTTAGCTAGAGAGTTTAGTCCATTTATATTTATTGTGTTTACTGTTATAATTGGATTGGTTTCGAATGATAACAGTCTCTACTTCACAAGACTGCAGGGAGATCTAAATGGGATGATAGGCAGGAATGCCTGGCATAGTCCCTGATAACACACGGTAGCCCCCCAAGCCCTGCTCCTGCGTCTGCCCCCACCATCTAAAAAGCGGGGAGAGGAGCTGGTACCACACCTACTCAACCTCACTGTGTCCGGGTCTTAGTCCTACCTCCTCACAAGACCCCAAGGCCCTTGAGGACAGAGATCCCTCCTTGTTGACCCCCCTACAGTTGTTCACCAACCACTGGGTCCCAGTCTGCTGTCTGCCACCTAACTGTGGGGCCTGGGCAAGTGACTGTGCTATTCCAAGCTTCATTTTCTTATCTCTAAAGTGGAGACACTGGTAATTAATGTGCCTTTCCTCCAGGGATGAAATATGGATCGAACACAGTTGGGGACTCAACCATGCATACCTGCCATACAGTATTTTTTACACATGGGAAATAGCGATGTTGTCATTACTGCCCTTCATACATTCACTTGTTATTGCACCAGCATTTCCTATGCCAGCTGGTGTGCCAGGCATGGGGGACACAGACGCGGCCCTGCCCTGGACTTTGCCCCAAGGAATGTTCCAGAAGTTTGTTGGGGGAAAGTGGGAGGATGGGACTTGGGAAGAGCCAAGTCTATGGAAGAAGGCACCTGCTCTGTGAGTTACTTGTGTCCCTTTGTTCTGGGGCGGGACTGTCCCACTCTTATTTATTGATTTATCTATCTATCCATCTATTTATTTATTTATTTTAAGGTTTTATTTTTAAGTAATCTACTCCCAACATGGGACTTGAACTCAGGACCCCAAGATTAAGGGTCGCACACTCCCCCAACTGAGCGAGCCGGGTGCCCCTCACTCATCTTTAGGTCCCCTCTAAACCTACTCCCTTCCCAGCAACAAAACAAAACAAAAAAACAAGATGCCCTGTAAAGCTGAGGAAATCAAAGAAGTTTGAACTAGGGCCTGAAGTGTGGATGGGATTTGGTTACGAAACCAAAAGGTGGGCAGGCATACCAAGGATTGTCACAGTCTGGGCAATAGTGGAAAGGTAGGAATGAGCATGGCGCCAGGGAGACTGGAGGTCTGATACACAGGCATGAGGGAGCCCAGGCATGTTCTTGAGCTGGGGAGTCTCCATGATGGGAGCACTGTATGAGCAGCCAGTGAAAAGGAAGAAATGGTCTCAGGATGGATTGAGGAGCACAGCATGTGTTTGGAGAGTGTATGGATTTGCTAAGGATACTGGAGCAAAGTACCACAACCTGGGTTATTTAAAACAAGAGAATTTATTTTTTAAAATTATTATTATTTTTAAGATTTTACTTATTTATTTGACAGAGATGGAGACAGTGAGAGAGGGAACACAAGCAGGGGGAGTGGGAGAGGGAGAAGCAGGCTTCCCGTGGAGCGGGGATCATGACCTGAGCCGAAGGCAGGCGCTTAACCACTGAGCCACCCAGGTGCCCCTAAATTATTATTTTTCAAGATTTTATTTATTTATTTATTTGACAGAGAGAGAGAGCAAGCAGGGGGAGGGGCAGAGGGAAAGGGAGAAGCAAACTCCCTGCTGAGCAGAGACCCTGATGAGGGGCTCCATCCTAGGACCCCAGAATCACAGCCTGAGCTGAAGGCAGATGCTTAACCAACTGAGCCACCCAGGCGCCCCAATTACGATCTCACTGTTCCAGAGGCCAGAAGTCCAAAACCAAAGAGTTGGCAAGGCCGTTTTCCCTCTGAAGGCACTAGGGGAAGATCTGTTCCAGGCCTTTCCTAGCTTCTGGGAGCCTCAGGTGGTCCTTGGCTTCCGGATATATTGCTCCAGTCCCCCATCTTCACATGGCCTTCCCCCTGTGTCTTCACATCATCCTCCCTCTGTGCATGTCTGTGTCCAAATTTCCCCCTTTTTATAAGGATGCCAGTCATATTGCATTAGGGCCTACCCCAAGACCTCATTTTAACTTGGTTAGTTCTAGAAAGACCCTGTTTCCAAATAAGGTCACATTCTGAGGTACTGGGGGGTTGGACTTCAATATATCTTTTTGCGGGAACACTGTTCAACACATAACATGGAGGTTGCAAAGAGGTCAAGACTGACTTCCCTGGGAAAGGCACCCCGGAGCTCGGCAGGCCTCAACTTCCAGTCAGGGCAGCCTCAGACCTCCAGGGCTGGGGGTGTTTGTACCCACCGTTTCTCCAGACGGAGGGCTGGGTCCTACCGGGGGTCCTAGTACCCAGCATAGATGGGCCCTGAGGGGCCTCCCCGAGCATCTATCACATGTGGGCACGCAGGGATTGAGTTTGGACCAGTGAGGAGGAGTCCTACCTGGAACTGTTTCCCTGGGCTGGTTTCACTACACCAGGGATGGAGATGAGGGTCAAGGACACTCCATGGCCAACTCCCCACCCCCCTACAGCTGTTGGGAGGCCAAGGTGCGAAGGCTGAGTGGCAGGTACAGGTACTGTACTGCTGGAGGGCCGGTGGGCACGGCTTTGCCTCTCCGCGCCTCGTTACCCCCCCTTGGGAAACAGCATGGGCATAGTTCTCTGGACTAAATGCCACCTTTGGGGCCAGGTGCCTGGCACACACTAGGATACAGCAGGCCCACAGGCTGAAATCAGCTGCATTGCTGGGGGGCACTGTGGAGGGAGGGGAAGAGAAGAGATGCATCCCCAAGGGGCTAGCATGGCCCCCGCAGCCACCCAGGGCCCCCAGCCTGGTCCTGGGGTTGTGCGGGTGGGAGGCGGGCAGGGCTGGGCACGTGCCACCCAGCTGCACTGAGGTTAAAATTGCCTTGTGATTTCTCTCTGCTCTGCCGGGTCCCGCCAGAGCTCAGAAGTAAGTCTCTTCCTGGGGGTGAGGGGTGCATGGTGGTCACGGCGCAGGGCACAGGCCCAGGGCAGCTTTCATGGAGCACTACCCCTGGCCTCAGGTTGTAGCCAGGGCTTGTATTCACCCTGCAGATTTGTGCAGTCTTCACCTAGGCCGGGGGCCAGGGTGGGGGGGGTCCAAGTTCCCCGGGACATCCTGAATCAGGCCATGTGGACATGGCTAGAAGGGGGACACTGTGGGAGGTGGCTTAGCCACCCCCCAGGCCTTGCCACCCGATGTGTGATGGGAGGGAACGGGCTGCATGGGGCCCGACCCTAACTCCCACCCCATCCCCCCCCCGCACGTCTCGCAAGGCGACCCCGGGTGAGGTGGGTGCATGAAAGACCCCACTCCCCCTGAAGCCTCCACCCACAACCCCACCCACCCACCTGTCCCCCAGGCTCCGGAGTGTGAAGATTGAGCAGGGGAAGCTGAATGACCAGGCCAACACTCTCGCCGACCTGGCCAAGGTGAGCAGGGTGGGGCTGGGCGGGGTGTCTGCTCAGGCCAGCAGAGGCTGCTCAGGCCCCCACGGCAGGAGAAGAACTGAGCCCACCTCCTGCCAGGGGAGGAATAGTGGTGGTGCCTATCGGACAGACAGCTAACGCGGGCAAGGGATGCGAAGCAGGCAGGGACCAGCCTCCGGGGGAGACAGGCGCTGTCTGCAAGAGTCCAGAGGTTCTGAATATAAGAGAGATGCTAGGAATCTACCCCTGCATGTTGACCACTTTTTAACTTTGGCAGCTCTTTTATTAAAAAAAAAAAAAAAAAGTATCTAATAAAATAGCTTTCATCAGAATATCTAATTAGTGGGTGAAACTGGTGAAGTGTCCTTTTGTTTTAGGCGTATCTACATACAGGCTCTAAAATTGAAGAGAAAAACGAAATTCTTTTGCTATGGATATAAATTCAAATTATAGAATCAGCAGAAAGCTTATTTATGCAGCAATTAAACATCTCTTAGGAAATTAAAGTTGGTTGCAAGAGCTAAGACCAGTTTATGTTACAAACTAATCTCTCTGTTGGTTTTATTATCAAGCCTGACCCCATTTCCCACTTTTTATTCATCCACTAAAGATGGGACAGTTGACCCAACTTCAGTCAGGCAGGCTCTTAGAATATTCGTCCCACTATTCCGAGCTCCCTTCTGAGCAGCGGCCTACCTTTCACAAGTAGTTCACGCATGAACTCTGCTCACTGGCTCCATCCCCTAATCAGTTAATTAGTCTGAGGTTCATTTAATATTATCTTTGGAAGATGTTAAGTCCTATTCTCCTTCTTATACCCAGAGCGTTTTGAACTCATTCTTTTCATCATTATCAAGAGAATGCAGTATAATATTAACCTACATAAATTTAATTTGGAAAGAAACATTATAGAGGGGAAAAAAAATATTTTAGACCCCTGAAGAAATCACTCAGTTGGTAGTAGAAAGAACATAATCCTAAGAGATATAGAAACCCTTGCCAAGCTAATTTGATGTCCTATGAGATTATAGCTAGAAATACATATGAAATGCCTTTGAAAAACTCAGGTACTAATTATTATAATTTGGATTATCCATATCGCTCTTCCTTCCATTAGCATAGATAATTGAAGTTTGAATTTTTCAAAGTTATTTAAACCTTGCAATCATAGTAGTAGTATGCCCCTCTCAGAGTACATTTAACAAAGCCTGCTTTGAAGTCAGGCTTTAACTGGATGGGATTATATGGGTTCCTAATTTCTAAAATTTAACAAGGGTAAAATGTTTTCCAGCATTAAACTTTAATGCGCTCCTACCCAAGATTGCTGATTTAATTTGTGTATCTCTGACAAAAGTACAAGGTGTATTCTAAGTTTTGAAGAATTTAAACCGCAGGCCAGAAAAAAATCATCAGAGGCTGGATGCCTCCAGATGTTACCCTCTGGCCCTGGGGACTGTGGGTAAGAGGGGCCCCAAGGTGTGTGTTCGCCCTGGGGCTGGGGCGCGTGGGCCAGTAACGAGACATGGTGGGGGTCACCACTGAGGCTCAGGCACGGAGGCTGGAGGGGAGAGGCCAGGGGTGGAATGCAGCAAGATGCTGTGGTAGGTGCCTCGTCCTGTCCCCCTCCCATGGAACGAGGGGGTGGGGACTCTTTCCCCATCTCAGCATCCATCTTCCCATCTCAGGCCTCGGGGTGCTGAGCCGCTGTCTGCCTGGGGGTCTGGTCAACACCTAGTTGAGGTTAGAGATAGAGGAACGATGTTCTACCGCCACCTGGTGGCAAGATTGGGCACTGCACCCAGGTCTGTCTGAGTGGCCAGCCTTCCGAACTTCCTGGGCCCCTGGGGGACAGTGGCAGAACCAGTTCCTGCTTGCTGGGTGGTGGGGAGCAGTCGAGGTGGTGGGGGTACCCCATCGCCTACTGCAACAGTAATTGTGGCTGCTAGGCTCCCCAGTCTGTGATTGGGTCAGATCCCTGGCGTGGTCACTGCCCCCCCTCTCCCCGCTGACCCTGTCCCCTCCCCAGTCTACTGTGGGGTGCAGGAGGGCAGTTCACAAACTGAGCCTCCTCCCCAGCCTGGAGCAGCGTCAGCCCAGAACCTGCCCCTCTCCCCCACCCCGCAGCTCTGTAGGCCGTGGTTCCCCTGGGTGAAGGCAGCACCCAAGAAGACCACCCTTTGGCTTCATGTGCCTGCTGGCCAGTTCATCCCCTCAGGGCGGCTCCGGCCACATCCACCCCAGGACCTCCCCCAACCTTCCCCAGGCCTGCTGGCCCCCAGCCTGGCATTCAAGATCTCTCTCTCCTCTTGCCTCTTCTCCTACCATTCCCTGGGGTGCGGCAAGAGACCTGTGGGCTTAGGGTGTCCTCACAGCTGTCTCCCACTTGGGTCCCTATTAGTGGGCTCCCACCAACTGGGGCTGGTCACCCATCTCTCTCTGTGTCTGTCCCTCTCTCTCACTTGGCCTCTCCTTTCTCTCCCACTCTGTCTCTGGCAGACCCAGAATGTCCTGTACGACCTCATGTCCGAGCTGCACGCCCAGCACGAGGAGCTTGAGGCCCGCCTGGCTGCCCTTGAAAGCCGCCTGGATGCACTGGGCACCTCCCTGCAGGCCCTGCCCGGCCTCATCGCCCAAGCCATACGCCCGCCCCCACCACCCCTGCCTCCCCGGCCTAGCCCCGGACCCCTGGACCAGGCAGCCCGGAGCCCCCCATGCCAGTGGCCACCCGTGGCCGCTTCAGACTGCGGGTGACAACCCTGCCCACCACCAGACCCCTCAATCTTGGCCATCGTGTGGCCGCCACCTCCACGCCATCCAGGAAGCCCTGTACAGTGGCGCCTCTTGGAGTTCAAGGAGCCGAAGCTGAGTTGGGCTGAGTGGCCCAGGGCCCTCCCCACCCAGACTGTCTGGGCAGAAGACAGGGCCGGACCGCAGGCGAGGGCAGGGGTGGGCCACCGCCCGCTTCCTCCCTGATTGGAGCCGGGCGGGGAGCCAGGAGCTTCCTTTGGTCCCCTGGCCCCCCCGACTCTCCCCAGGCCCCTGGTGGGCATGGATCAACCAGGAGAGGGGTCCTTGCCAGTTCTGAATAAAGCAGGACCCACCCAGTTGCTGCCTGTTTTGCGTAACTATGGGAGCTCATAATCACAACATGGGAGGTGACTCCCAGGGCTCAGAACAAATGTGGGGGTCTAGCTGAGCCCGTCCCATGACTATTCTAGCCTGGTAGCCCTCCAAGCCTGAGCTCAGTTGGGTACACCTGAGGACGTTAGCATTCTCCTAACAGGCATTGACAGCCCTGGCCTGCAGGAGGCAGCAGATCCCGGAGACCTCCTTCGCTTCCCATTCTAGCAGCCGACTTTGCTGGAGCATCCAGTGTGGGCCAAGCTCCAGGGGGACCATGGTCCAGTGGGGAAGGTGACATGAGTAAGGAGGACCATTCAGTCTTCGCTGGACATACGTTGAACACTTGCCCTATACAGGGGACATAATGTAAATTACCACTATTCTTCACCAGAACCTGACTAGGGTAGGATGGGGAAACTGAGGGTCAGAGAAGTGAAGCCACCTGCCTGGGCTCCAGAACAGGGTGGGGGTTGGCGGGGAGGCAGGATTCAAACTCCAGCCCATAGGCCAAAGTGAAGAACCTGGACTTGGGGGAGGGTATAGTGTGATTCCGGGGTTAGAGTGGCCTCACGGCAGGCTGGAGGGGAAGGTTCTGGACACCAGTAGAATCAGAAAGGTCCCTCCAGGCCTTGGGCTCAGTGTGCTGGGGTGAGGCAGGGATGGCAGGCCCTTGGCAGCCGCTGGGCTCCGGGCATAGCAAAGAGATAGAAGCCTGCCTCCTGGGGAGGTTAGTCGGGACCCAGTTGAGAGCCTCAGGCCCTGGCAGCCTCTGATAAAGCCATTAGCCACCTGGTTCAGGAGATAACTTGGGCGCAAGACCCAGAAGAGTGGGGAGGTGCCAGTAGGCTCCAGACCTGCGTTGGGAGTCCTGACTGCCACCGCTGGGTGCTTCTGGGCAGAGGCTGCCCCCTATGAGAGCCTCAGTTTTCCCATCTGTAAGATCTGGTGAGGAGGACAGGGCACAGTGCCCACCTTCGGGGAGCACCTAGTCTGATGGAGGACGAGGCGCAAAAAACATAGCAGTCACAAACACAGCGACCAGAGCCTTAAAGAAAGAAACAAGACCAGGGTGTGATTAGGGGACTCTGAGAAAGTGACATTTGCGCATGGGGGTGGGGATGGGGAGATGGGAGAGCCCATGTGGGGAAGGGCGTTCCTAGCAGGGGAACCGTCCGTGCAAAAGCCAAGAGGCAAGCCTTGAGCTTGGTGTGTGTCGAGAACAGCCACGGAGACCAGAGGGGGAGGCCGGGGCGGTGCCGGGTGGGGGACACATGAAGCCACCAGATAGCCGCCTGGCTGCTCTGCTCGGGGCCAGCCACATCCGCCTCTGACTCAACAGCGCCGACCCTACAAAAACAGGGCCCGCCCCGCGCTGGCGGGGGGGCTGGGGGGGGACAAAGTCAACAGCGCGGGCACGCGGGCGGCACGTCCCCGGCGGCCGGGGCGCGTCACGGGGGCGGGCGCCGAGGACCAGGAAGTCGGCGGCCGACGCGCCGGCCCGGAGCCCCCGGGCGCCGGCCCGAGTTCGCGGGGGGCCGGAGGGAGCTCGGGGGCGCCCGGCGCCGCGAGGAAGGGCGCCGAGCCGCCGGAGGGCCGCCCACACGCCCGGCCGCGGCCCGGGGCGCCTTCCCCGCCGTGCGCCCAGGCCTGCGCCATGCGCCCGGGGGCCGTGCGCAGCTTCGCGCTGGAGCTGGCCCGGGGCCCCGGCGGCGCGTACCGCGGCGGGGAGCGGCTGTGCGGCCGGGTGCTGCTGGAGGCGGCGGCGCCGCTGCGGGTGAGAGCGCTCGAGGTGGCGGCACGCGGCGGGGCGGCGACGCACTGGCTCGAGGGCCGAAGCGTGGGTGTCAACGCGGTGTCCAGCGACTACGCGGCTGCCGAGACGTACTTGCGGCGGCGGCAGCTGCTGCTCCGAGGTGAGCCGCTCGCTCCGCACCCCCCCAGCCAGGATCCCCCCGGGGCCCTCTCCCCAGGTCTGGGCGCTCCTCCCCAGCGCCCCGAGCTTCGACTTAGAGGCTGTGTGGCCGGGTGACCCTTCTTAAGAAGTGGAGACCTCCTCCCCCAGGGTCTGGACCCTCTCGCCGGGACACACACCCACCTACCCCCTCGCCCCCTACCAAACCCTCTTTCCCAGGAGCCCCTCTCAGGGTCTGGGCGCGCCCCCCCCCTTTCCAAAGTCGGGAGGCCCTCCAGGTAAAGGCTATGCGGCAGGACCCCCCACTCTCCGGAGTCTGGAGAACCCCTGGGTAGAGTCAGGACATCCTCCTCTCTGGACCCAAGGATCCCCCTTTAACTCCAGGCCTGGGGTCCCTGATTTCCCAAAGAAGACCCCCACCTCACGTTCTACCCGTGCCTCCTCCCTCAGTTTACCCCTAGTGCTTGCAGAAATGAGTTCAGACCTGGGTGGGGAGTTCTGGTGGTGTTTGCAGGTAGGTTTGCATCCCGGAAAGGGAGGAGACTTGGGGTGGGGTCAGATCAGGCTGAGAGGACTCCCATCTGTCTCCCAGCTCTGAATTTCAGTCCCTCACACTCAGGCCACACAGCCGGTCAGGAGCAGGCCAGGGGTGAGTCTGTGCCTCAGCACTGAGCTATGTTTGCTGTGGAGGATGTTGGCTCCCTGGGTTGCCTTTCCACCCCCTCAGCTAAGCCAGACCTCACTATACTCTTCTGTAAAATGGGCACAGGCAGGGCTGTACACAGTAGATCCTTTGCCCACAGCCTTTCAGCCTTTGCCCAACAGCCCCAGATGTGGGGACTCTCCCCTTACTAGCTGTGGAAACCCAGGCCTAGAAGGCCCTAGGGCGGGACAGGAAGAGGCCCCGGAGGCACTTCCTTTCCCCTGAGACTTAAGGGAAATTGGTCCCACACCTGGTCCCACTCAACCAGCTGCTTCGTTAAGACACTGGGGTGACGCTTGCAGAACTGCTGTGTAACCTCAAGTGAGGCCCTGCCCCTCTTTGGGCTTCTGGGGGCCCATCTGTGAAAAGGACTCACCACATCCTCTACCTCCTCCTGGGCTTACAGCCTCCAGGGCTCCACTTGGCCCTGGGAGAAGGCACTAGCCCTTCATTTCAATCCGAGTCCCCTCCTCCATGCAGCCCCCCAAGCTGATCGCTGTGTCTACAGCCTCTGTTCCTCCCTTAGGTACTGCTCTGATCCAGTGCCCCTGTGGTCACTCTGACTGCAGGGGACCATGTCCGGTTATGACTGCCCCCCACTGGGGGTTCCGAGGCCTCAGGAGGTTCCCAGGGCCATCTGAAGGCAGGTCAACGGTGGCTTCCAGGGTAGGGGGTGGGTTCGAGCAGCTGCGCATCTCGCTGCCACCAGAGGGCGCTGGCGCCCTGCAGACCGCGACCAGGAAACCCTTTTCTCAGACACGCTCTTTGAGGTTCTTCTCTGAGTAAACTGAGGCCCAGAGAGGAATCATACCGTCTCGAGGGCACACTGCAGCCCTGGCCCCTGGGGTTCCTGGGACGTCCCGTCCACTTGGCTCTATCTGTGAGGGGACTGGGGCGGGGGGCGGGGCCAGGATCGGGCCCAAGGGCTACGCCTAGGGGGCTCGTAGGAGTTTGCTGGGGGCCGCAAGTTGCGACAGGAACATCGGGTGGTGGGGAAAGCTTGGGCAAAAGCGCTGAGGCGTGACCGAGTCGTGACATGTGGGGAGTGGGTTGATGACCTGGGAGCGAGGCTCTCTGGAAGGGGAAGGTGTCTGAGCATAGGCTACACCGCGATTCATGCACAATACTCTGAGGTCGGGGCCGATTTTCTTCCAGCTCTACAAATGACAAACGTGGAAACTTAGGTTCAAGAGGTGGTCACTAGCCCGGGGTCATCCAGCTGAGCGGGATTCGAATCACAAGACGGGGGGCAGCAGGTGCCCAAGCAGAGGGAGGCCCTACCTACTTCCTCCTCCTTCCCCCATCGCTCGGAGTGGGGAACTGACGCCCAGGCTGGTCCTAGGCTCTCAAGGCCCCGACTGGGGCTAGGCCATTCCACAGCCTTCTCGCGCGGGGCTGGACATGCCTCGAGTCCGATCTGCAAGTGGTGGCCAGTTGATGATTAAACCTAGTGGCAGAGTGCTCTTGCTGGGTGACCTCAAGCCCGGGGCCCAACTCCGACCCTAAGTTTCCCCCGCTTTACCCCCGGGGTCCGCGAGAGACCGGCTCGGGCCCGCGATGCTTCAGGTTCACGCAGGGGTCCACGAGGGTAGAGGGTAGCTGCAGAGTTTGTTATTTTGTTTCACGCCTGGGCGGAGTCACGCCCCTCGCCGCGCCATTGGTGTATTCCTTTCTGGGGGTGGGGCCCGCGTCTCGCCCCGCCCCGCCCGCCGTATAAAGGCAGCGCCGGCGCACGGCGCATAGGAATTTCTGACCTGGTCGGCAAGTGCGCCTGCGCACCCCGGGCAGGTTCGCGTTCTGAGGCTGTAGCCTCCGCACCTCGCGCCGCCGCGTCGCGGGTTCGAGGCCAGGGTGTGTGCGTCGCGGGTTCGCATCCCGGGCGCGATGCTGTTCGACAAGGTGAAGGCGTTCGTGGTGCAGCTGGATGGCGCGAGCGCGGGCGCCGAGCCGGTTTTCAGCGGCGGCCAGGCCGTTACCGGCCGGGTGCTGCTGGAGCTGGCGAGCCCGGCGCGCGTGGGCGCCCTGAAGCTGCGCGCGCGGGGCCGCGCCCACGTGCACTGGACCGAGTCGCGCAGCGCGGGCTCGAGCACCGCGTACACGCAGAGCTACAGCGAGCGTGTGGAGGTCGTGAGCCACCGTGCCACGCTACTCGCGCCAGGTACCGGCCGGCCACCCCGACGCGGCGCACGTGCTGCGCGCTCCTGGAAGTGGGAGCGGCCGCTGAGCCTCCCCCTCTTGCTCCTACCTGCAGACACGGGAGAGACCACGACGCTGCCTCCGGGGCGCCATGAGTTCCCATTCAGCTTCCAGCTGCCTCCGTAAGTCCGGCATCTGGGGCGCGGGATTGTAGGGGAATCCCTAAGCCTGCAGCTCCTTTCACGTTTAGGTCTCCATTGCTCGGTTTCTGGGGACCCTCTGGACCCCAAGACTCCCCCCCCCGGGGGGGAGAGGGGGCCTTCGGTGTCTCTGTCTCTCATTCTCCTAAGTCTCTGGGACCA